CACACGCTTCTCCCTGCGCCTCTGGCGGGGGTCCAGCCAGCACTTATCTTCCTCGTCGCTGTCCACCTGTGGCTGCGGGGACGTGCTTGGCTCTGAGCCTATCGTTTGGCCTTCGGTGTCCTCCGGAGGCATTGCCAGAGAGGAGGGTCCTGGAGAGGGAGGCCTTGCCAACTCCTCCCCCTCACTCTCAGAGTCTGCATCTGTCGATAGCCCAGGCTCAGGCAAGGGAGCCACAACAGCTATGTCCCAGATTCATCTGATCACCTTTTGTGACCTTCTGACAAGCAAAGTCAATGGGAAAGCCAGTTTCACTTAGCAACCGTGTTACTAACTTAACCATTGCTCTGATTCACTTAACAACTGTCAAAAATGGCTGTAAAGTGGGGATTGACCATTTGATCATTCAGAGTTCCAGCTTGAGTTTTGAACTAATCAGGTACCAAAGTGTTGTTTTAAAATATCTGCTTCTAGATTGCAGGCTGCAGTTGGCTTTTGAATGGCATGTTGGGAGGAGACTCAAAACATCATGTCACGTTTCATTTGATTGAAAACAATTTGATTTAATCTGGTTAATAAGGCGTTCCCTGATATATTGAATAACTTCTGCCCTGCTAAAAGTTAAACAGTGGTAGCAGCCATTGGAGCATTACTGCACTCACGATTTGAGGACTGCAAGTTATGTTTTGAAGCTACCTGAAAAGGACCTCATGGTGATTTGGCATGATAACAGCATAATACACCAAAGAGACAAAACACCTCATTATACATATTCTGACAGCAGCACGATTACTGTTCGCTCAAAATTGGAAATCAGATCAACTCCCAATCAAAGATAAAATAATCTCCAAGATAACAGAATGTGCCAAAATGGATAGACTGACACTGGAACTCCAGGATAAGGAAGAAAGTGAATACTATCTTGTGTGGCACCGATGGTACCAATGGCTGGAAAGGAAAATCAGTACAAATGTAGATGACATAAAATAGGGTGAAAGATTAAAAAATGGGAGACGAATACAGGGAAGATGCAAGATTATTTTTAATGCAAAATACTTGAACCGAGAGTTTACTACTTTTTTATTAATTCATAAAGCAATATAATATATACTTTGTTGATGACTAAAACATATCTGTAGAATGTTGTGTGGGTATGTAGGTGGTGGGATTTCGTTTGTCTTTGTATTGTCTTCATATTTCTGTTTATAATTTAATAAAAGTAAGAAAAAAGAAAAAAAAAGAAAGAAAAGGACCGCATGGTGAAGCAGAAAGGAGGAAAAGAAAGAGGAACGAATACATAATCAGTTCAAAAGTAATTTTTGACAATACATTGAAAGGCTCCACGTTTGCGTATTTTAAATATTCATTATGTAAAGGCTGCGACGCCTGTGGTTTTCAATTGCCTTTCTAAGCAGTGGTCAAAATGACAATCTGTTTAAACAAACTGGCATTAAAGATAGGTTTTGCCATATGTCACACATTTGTCACTCCATCTGCTAGGGTAATAAAGGAAGCAAAAACTCAGCCTGACCGGCCCCTTGGGTGATCTTGTCGACTTTACAACAACAAATACCTTCTTTAACCCATTTTATTTACTTCAAGTTCTGTTTAGCTATGGCTTTCACACAGCGTACGGTAGATGAATAGGAAGCCAGACTGCAAGCATGGAAATTGTTGCCTTTCATTATTTTCCATTTGTACCATGCTTTATTTATTTATTATTTATTTATTTATTATTTATTAATTAAATTTCTATACCGCCCTTCTCCAATAGGACTCAGGGCGGTGCACAGCCAAGATAAAAACAAAGCATACAAAATTTAAGAACAGTATTAAAATAATTAAATATTTTGGCCGAAATTAAGATAACCCAATTTAAAATCAATTTAAAATTTAACTCAGGCCAGCCCAGCTTGTTGAAATAAATAGGTTTTCAGGGCCCGACGAAAAATCCGGAGGTCTGTTATTATACGTAACTCTGGGGGAAGGTTGTTCCAGAGGGTGGGCGCCGTCACAGAGAAGGCTCTCCCCCTGGGGGTCGCCAGCCGACATTGTCTGGCGGACGGCACCCTGAGGAGGCCCACTCTGTGCGAGCGTACTGGCCGGTGGGAGGCTATTGGTGGCAGAAGGTGGTCTCGTAAATACCTACTTTGGTAGTAAAGGAATATAGCTTCCTTAGCAAGAACTGTTAAATGTAGGAATGTTGAACCTTTCATGGCCATGGATAGAGAGCCATAGGAAACCCCATTAAGGAGAGATAAAGAGCAGTACCCTCCCTTTACTGGTTATGCAAACACTATTTTCAATTATATTATATTCCTAAAGGGGAAAATAACAATTCTCCAGTTACATGAACTAGTTGCTTGCAATAGAGATGAGATGAATAGGATTCAAAACACTGTTTCACCACAAATGACTTTAAAAGGTAAAGGTTCCCCTCGCACATATGTACTAGTCGTTCCCGACTCTAGGGGGCGGTGCTCATCTCCGTTTCAAAGCCGAAGAGCCAGCGCTGTCCAAAGACGTCTCCATGGTCATGTAGCCGGCATGACTCAATGCCAAAGGCGCATGGAACGCTGTTACCTTCCCACCAAAGGTGGTCCCCATTTTTCTACTTGCATTTTTTATGTGCTTTCGAACTGCTAGGTTGACAGAAGGTGAGCTCACCCCATTACGCGGCACTAGGGATTCGAACCACTGAATTGCCGACTTTTCGATCGACTAGCTCAGCCTCTTAGTCACTGAGCCACCACGTCCCTACAAATGACTTTACGAACATTTGAAATGTAGGATTTCAAATGAAATCGTATTTGGGGCAGGTAAAAGCATATCTTTATTGATTACGTTAAGGGCCACTTTAACTTTGTGAAAATGGGTACTCCAGGCTACTTCCTGTTCACATTATATTAAAAGTAGGGCACTCTCATTCAGTGGAATGGGATAATTTACCTGAAGGATGCTCAGCAAATTAATAGGACAAACTTCTTGCCAATTAAAGGCAAATACAATTGCCTAAACTATGAGAAAGTTGTATAGCTACTAATTATTCAAAGGACCTCTTAATCATACTCCAAAAGATATCTATTTTCCTTACTATTTCTCTAGGTTTTTTCCTTTCTTCAGCGTTATTTTCTTTGCAATTTCATTTTACTAAGGATTGCTCCTATTAGTACAAGTCCTTGGTGAATTACTATCACGTCCAGTATACCTTTTGACCTTTTGCTTTATTGTTTGTTTTAGTACCACTTCAGTCTTTCCTGTTAATTGTAGAGTAAATATATTTAACAGGCTGCCAGTTTCAATCATATTTATTAAGGAATAAATCCATTAAATGCAGGGGAATTCTCCTTACATAGGTTTATCTTGCATAATGAACAAACAGAGATGGCCTTTTTTGGGTGAGAAAACACCCACATATATATTCGTTGTAGTTAGTTGCAAAGTCATCTCCGACCCATCATAACCCCATGGACAATGTTCCTCCTGGCCTTCCTGTCCTCTACCATCCTCTGGAGTCCATTTAAGCTCACGCCTACTGCTTCAGTGATTCCATCCAGCCACCTCATTCTCTGCCGTCCCCTTCTTCTTTTGCCCTCAATCGTTCCCAGCATTAGGCTCTTCTCTAGTGAGTCCTTCCTTCTCATTAGGTGGCCAAAATATTTGAGTTTCATCTTCAGGATCTGGCCTTCTAAAGAGCAGTCAGGGTTGATCTCCTCTAGGACTGACTGGTTTGATTGCCTTGCCGTCCAAGGGGCTCGCAGGAGTCTTCTCCAGCACCATTGTTCAAAGCAGTGGTGAAATCCAATTTTTTTTTACTACTGGTTCTGTGGGCTTGGTGGGCATGGCATGGGAAGGATACTGCAAAATCTCCATTCCCTCTCCACTCTGGGGCCAGCCAGAGGTGGTATTTGCCGGTTCTCTGAACTACTCAAAATTTCTACTACCGGTTCTCCAAACTGCTCAAAATTTCCACTACCGGTTCTCCAGAACCTGTCAGAACCTGCTGGATTTCACACCTGGTTCAAAGACCTCAATTTTTTGGTGCTCAGCCTTTCTTATGGTCCAACTTTCACAGCCATACATTGCAACTGAGAAAACCATAGCCTTGACTATACACACTTTTGTTGGCAGGGTGATGTCTCTGCTCTTTAGAATGCTGTCTAGATTTGCCATAGCTTTCCTCCCCAGGAGCAAGCAAGCATCTTTTAATTTCTTGGTTGCAATCCCCATCTGCGGTGATTTTGGAGCCCAGGAAAATAAAATCTGTCACTATCTCCATTTCCTCCCCATCTATTTGCCAGGAATTGAGAGAGCAGGATGCCATGATGTATATAATATAGTGATAATTAATTTGTGTGGGGAAGTTTTAACAACTGCAATCATGGAAATCTTTTTTTTTTCTCATTTAAATTCCACATGCAAATCTTTTTCAGGTACTATATAGTACCTGAAACTATATCAATATAGTTAGATATATTATAGTTGGTGCTAGAAAACAGTTTTTCAAAAGTAGAAAAAGAGACTCCTATGAAAAGGTTTGGCTGGAGGTCGTTCTTGTTTTGTGCTCTGCTAACAACTGGCTCGTAAGTATTGGTTGTCTGTTCTGACTCAGTTCTGAGTTCAGCACAATTCAATTAGATGAACAAGTGAGGTTTGATTGGATCTTGTATTTTATAGTGCACTAATGTTGTTTCAGCTAACAATCAATATAGTTTTAATATGGTACATTCTTTGTTTAAGCCTGGGCATATTATAAAACTTGGTTTTGTCAGTTGTTTTGTGGGAAACAAATTGGGAAGAAAGAGTGAAACCTTTAGAAATGTCAACTGGATGATTGATGATGATGATTCTAAATGAATTTATATTGTTTTGGAATAAAAGGAGGGATCAGCCCTGAGTTTTCCAATGTTGTGATTCCCATGAATGAGAGATCCCTATGGGTGAATGTCAAGAAAACTATTTTCATGATTTCTTTTATTTCTTTTAATGCTTAAGCCCACAAAGATAAAATCCTCTGATGATTCATCCACTTCTGGAATGGTCTTATGAGTTACTACTTAGGGTAGACGGATCATTCTATCTCCAGGTTGCCTCACATCTTTGTGCCCATTTTGTCTTGTTCCTTTAAAAAAAAATAGCAAGAAAATTAATGTGCGGTTTTGTTACAAACTGGCATAATAATGCATTTTATATATGCATGTTATTATAATGTGCATATTGTATTTCAATATGAATTTTAATAGCTAAGCTGCAATACAAAATTTGGGAAATTGCAGTCAGGTGGAAAATTGCATTCAGTTTCACACATTCGTTGAAGAGTGTTGTCATTTCACTTTCAAAAGCATTTCAAACAAAATTCACAAGCACCTCTATAAAGATCATGTTGGTTCACACGTGGTCATAGCATCATTTTATCATTTCCATTCCACCTTTCAGGATATTTTATCTAGCCTCAATAGATAAATAAGTTGTTATCATTTAGATTTTGCCAGTAGCTAGTAGCTAGTAGAATTCAATCAACATTTCAAGCCCCATGTTTTCAAGGCCCATATACAGGGTAAATCACAATATTTTATCCCTTTCTTTAAAATGTCTTTGCTACAGTATTCCAAGATATTTTCAAAGCTACTTTTGCCATCTTTCCTCTTTATGTTTCAATATTACATTGTCATGGAAACAACATTAATTGTTCCGGCAATTCTGTAAAAAGTAGGGATGGTTTTATTTCTGATTACAGTTGGATTCTCTTGTGCTAGATTTCAAACCTAGCCACATTCAGTAGGTGGCAAATTTTGTTGACATCCATTTTCTTGGACTCAATAAGAATGTATATTGTGGTGTCAGGTGGTTGTATCAATGCATGCAGCTCAGCCTTTTAAAACAGATGGGACTCTGAAACTCTTACCTGAGATTGTCTTTGAGCAAAATTCCTTCAGTCTTTGATCAAGTTAATACTCTGAATTTCATAAAATTGTCATACTCTGGCTACGGCTTGGTATATTACTGAAAATATTAAAGCAGAATGTTATAAGGAAAATGTCTGTTAATGTACATAGAAGACAAACACAAATATTAAGGAACGGTCAACAAGTTGCAACATAGACATAGAATAGTAGCACATTACTAAGTAACAGGAAAAGGACTGATTAAAAGAAAAAGTCCAGGTTTTTCTAAATACAAATCTACTGTAATTCTTATACTATAAGTGCTATAATCCATGAGAAGATATAGAATAAAATTTATTCTTTCTTTGGATAAATAGGAAGGTCTTGTTCTGTCCCCATCTCACACACGCACCCCCACAGACAGGCAACAGTTAAAGAACTCAACTGACAACAGTTTATCCGGTATCAGAATTGGCAGCAGCCCAGTGGCTGGCTGCCAGGTATTCTTTACTCACGAGGGGGGAGTTTCTCCCTTCGTCTGGGAACAAAGCCAATACACAATAATCAACAAAGTCCAGTAAATACAAAGAAGGTCGTCCGATATCCGTTTTTTGCTTGTCAGAGAGCTGAACCGGCCACCACACCCTCTTTTATACCCTGTGGGGGGGGTTCCAGTGACTCAGTCTAATCCCTGGCACGCGTCTTCTTCTGCTGCGCGCGCTTATCTCTGCGACGCTGCCGAGGATCCAGCCAAGACTCATCTTCCTCATTACTGTCCACCTGTGGCTGCGTGGACGTGCTTGGCCCCAGGCCTATCTCTTGACTTTCGAGGACACTGAAGGCATTGCCAGAGAGTAGGGTCCTGGAGAGGGAGGCCTTGCCAACTCCTCTCCTTCACTCTCGGAGTCCTCTCCTGCCGATAACACAGGCTCAGGTAACGGAGCCACAACAGGCCTGATCTTGGATGATACATACCATGTTTCCCCGAAAATAAGACCCTGACTTGTATTTTTTTGAACCCCGAAATAAGCACTTGGCCTTATTTTCAGGGGAGGTTTTATTATTTTGGGGCGTGTGGAGAAACCAGTGGAAATGGCGTGGACCAGCTGTGCATGTGTTTAATATTTTCAGAGAGGGCTTATTTGGGGGGGGGCTTATTTTAGTGCATACGCTCAAAGGCACGATTGGTCCTCCCAAGCTCCATTTTCTCTGGCAGAGGGTTGCAGGAGGCCATCGCAGCCAAAAGTGGAGCTCATGAGGTCTGCGTGTGGCTCTCCCGAGCTCTGTTTTCACTGGCAGAGGGTTGCAGGAGGCCATCGCAGCCAAAAGTGGAGCTCTTGAGGTCTGCGTGTGGCTCTCCCGAGCTCTGTTTTCACTGGCAGAGGGTTGCAGGAGGCCATCGCAGCCAAAAATGGAGCTTGGGAGCCTGTTTTCACTGGTAGAGCACATGGGCCACCACAGGCACCCCCAACACAAGTGATGTTGAGCTGGTCATGCCCACTCTGGCCACACATCCTGCCGGCCCCCTCAAGATCAAACACAACCCTGATGCGGCCCTCAATGAAATCGAGTTTGACACCCCTGCCTTAGAATTAACACCTCAATAAAAGACATTGAAAGAAACATTTGCTTTGTTTTTCCGCTTCATAGAAACTCCCCATAGCAATTTCATATTAACAGCAATTCATGTACATTGAACTTAACACAACCTATGTGCTGATCATCAGCTGCAATCATATTTCTTCCACTAGCTTTAAATTTTTAAGCTTAATTGTGGGTTTATCTAAAAGCACCAAAGCTGTATTTACTGTATTTGCTGAGTGTCATTGTCTACTGACAGTTTTATGAGTATAATTGATTAGGGCATCCTGATGCATTTGTTTCTTTCATTTTCCCTTATAATTAAATGATGGCTTTGCCAAAAACCATTGTAATTTTAATCATGGTTCTTTTATGTATGTTTTAATTATATTTTGTAAATCTACTCTTCATTGTTTCATGGGTCATGGTTCACAAAAACATTTTCTACGTTGGTTAAGATGAGAACGTTAGGCAGAGCTCTATGTACCTACAAAATGCTCTCGTTAATAAAAACTTATTTGCTGTAAAGTTAGCAATAATTTTCAACCAAATTTCAAAATATGTGTTATAGAAGTATTTATTTATTTATTAAATTTATACCCTGCCCATCTCACCTAAATGACTCTGGGCTGTTTACAGTATATGCAGAACAGGTAGTTTTACAACATTTATTAAAATATATAACAAATAATTAAAACATAAAAAATTAACTAGGATTATTGACAGCAATACTAATAGCACTTAGACTTATATATCACTTCGTAGTGTTTTACAACCTTATATAAGTGCTTTAGAGAGCCAACAATCTGGGTCCTCATTTTACTGACCTCAGAAGGATGGAAGGCTGATGGAAGGCCTGAGCCATTGAGGATCGAATTGCTGGCAGTTGGCAGAATTAGCCTGCAATACTGCATTCTAACCACCGTGCCACCATGGCTCAACTAGGAATATTGATTAGTAAATGCCATTGTTTTTATTATTTACAATGAAATAATGCACATGCATACTATATGGACACTGATATATATATATATATATATATATATCTACTAGTCCATGTATATAGGGAAAGGGAAAGAGAAAGCATCTACTGACACATAATATTTCATAGCATTTCATTCTAATATAAATTCAGCATTTTCTTGATTGTATTCAAGATCCTCATATCCATTTATATTGAAGCCAGTTTTATATTGTTCCATTTCAATTTCTCATTGTCAATAAAACAATGGAGACTAAATATTAGAATAAGAATTACAATTTAGTACATGCCACTCACCATATAGTTATTGTAACCAAAAGAACATCTACAATTATTCTTGAAGGAGATTTGTTGTTGTTTTTGTTTTCCCCAGTATTACTTTTTATCGTTAGGGGGGGAAAAAAACATCTTCACCCAATCCTTCCCTAATTTGCTACTTTCTATACAGCTGGAACCATAATTTCCAGCTAGTATGACCTTTAATAAGATTTTAGTTGATAACATGATCTTCAGCCAGGAAAACTTGGAGATGAAATTGTACACATGTGAGAAATCCAAATTTAGAATCCCATGGCATATAGGTAAGGAAGTCATATATCTGAACTTAAACAAAGAAAACAGATATGTGAAAAACAACTTTCATGAATGAAGGCAAATATACATGTCCCAGGATAATATTTCAAGATCCAATCTGGGTCAGTTACCAGGCCAGAGATTTAGTCTTCTGAGTTCTGGACTTGTGCTGGAGCCCCTTCTCAGGGAACGTCTCTCTACCACAATGTGTTTTTCTCACACACATTCTGGTGAGAGAGAAGTTTGCTGAGGATGGGCTCAAGCACGAGACCAAAAGCTCGGAAGACTAAACTTCTGGTACCGGTGATCGACCCAGATCAGATCCCCCAAAAACAATTTTATTAGTTCTATTGAACCTTATTTACTTTCCCCATCCCAAATCCCTACTGTATGTGTTCTGACCCAGCTCCCCAAACACGACAAACCCTCTGAAGTTAACTCAAAGATTCCTTTATTATGAGCTCTGGCAGCCCCAGCAAAAAGTTTCTCTCTCACCACAGGCTAACAAGTCCATCTGGACGGAAGATGAATAGTTGTCTGCCATATCTATTCATCTCCACCCCCTGCCTTCTATCCCCAGAGCTAGGGTGGGGCTTCGCTAGCAGTGGTGGCTCTTCCTTCCCAAGGATCGGCCCACAGATTTCCACTGCTCTCCTCTCCTCTGCCTTCTGAGCATCTGTGTGTCAGGCACTGGACCCAGCTGTTCCTCCTCTTCCTCATCAGCCACCTCCAGACCTGGAGGCTATTGACTCTCCATCTGAGGGCTGACGGACGGCCCAGGCTCCGCCTCTGTCTCTTTCTCTCTGCCAGCTCCATTCTCTCTTACCCCTCGGAGCTCTCTGGTTGCCTTCTGCTGACCTGACTCCCACGCTTCCTCCTCCTCTGATTCGGCTGCTGGAGAAGATGGCGGCTGACAGGCCACAACACTATGTGGAAATACTTGCTATCAGAATAGTGTATTTAGCAACAACTGGCCATAAGCCCTCAAAAGACAACCGAAGAAGGTTGCTGCTTAGTTATTAAACTTTCTGAAACAACAGGGCAAACAAAATGTATTTAACTTAACTTCATACATACTTCACTCCACAAAGTACAGTACAGTGCTACCTTGGCGCTCATCATTAATTGGTTCCGGGAGATGTGATGAATGTCAAACAAATTTTGAACAATGTAGTGAGTCACAAGGGAGTTGACACCGGCAAGTTCTAGCTGTATATCTAATGTGTACCGGGACAAAATTTTTGGATCAGAATGCATTGAGTACCAAATTTGATAATTTTCAAAGCAGGTGAGCATCAAGATACCACTGTACTTTTAATATTATTTGCTGTTAATGCTACTATAATTGCTATACACATACTCCTTGACTTACAACCATTTGTTTAGTGGCCGATCAAAGTTAAAATAGCACTGAAAAACAGTTTTTCACACTTATGACCATTGCAGCATTCCCCTGGTCATGTGATAAAAATTCAGACACTTGGCAACTGGCCAAGCGGTTGGAGTCATGTCATCATCTTTTGCAACCTTCTGACAAGCAAAGTCAATGGGGGAAGTCATATTCACTTAACAACCATGTTACTAATTTAACAACTGCAGTGATTCATTTAACAATTGTGGCAGGAAGATCATGAACTGAAGCACAACTCACTTAACAACTTTCTTGCTGAGCAATGGAAATTTTGGACTCAGTTGTGGTCATAAGACGAGGACTATCTCTATTACGTTCCTTGGTTCCTCTCTTAGCTGAGAAGTTTAGCACTCTTTGCTCATTACTTCTTCATTCTTATCATGCTTTACATATGTATAATTTCAGATAGTTTTCTTCATACAAAGGTCAATGTGCCATACATTATGCTACTCAAAAAGAGATTTCCTATCCATCTGTTAACTCTGCTGTCTGAGGAAATTATTGTGTTTGTTTCAAGAACTGGTTTCTTTGTTTCACTGTGTCTATCTGGAAATTATATCTTTTTTCCCAGTTCATTTATATGTGACGAATACAACATTCACATAGAAATGAAATGATGTTGCATTGGTAAATGAAATATGTTATTTCTCTTCTTTATTATTAAAAATTTGGCTTCTATTTCTACAGATGTTTAATATCCTTATTATCTGCAATCACATTTGATGAGGTTTCCAATTAAATTATTCTAATGTTTCAGATATGTATCCTATGCCTTTCTTTTCCTTTCTTTATTCTCCCTTCCCTTCCCTTCCCTTCCCTTCCCTTCCCTTCCCTTCCCTTCCCTTCCCTTCCCTTCCTTTCCTTTTACATCCTACATAGTCCCATAAATCAATTAAGAT